TCACGGTGAAATACATACATACAGGGTGGACCAAATAAGACCTACCATCCATAGTTCATAGGTCCATAGTTTGCCTAGCAGTGTGCGCAGTCGCTCCATCTTGTTGGAACCACAAATTCGGATGCTGCTCTGGCATTGGCAGCAAAAAGTTGTCAATCTGTAAGAAGCCCCAGAAATAGTTTCTGGCGTTTCATCCTTATTCTCGAAGAAATATGGGCCGATAACTTTTTCGGCCATAACACCGCACCGGATGGGTGAGACTGGTGCTGGTGTTTTGCCCTTGGATTTTCAGAGCCCCACATTTTACAGTTTTGCTTGGAAATACGCTTCATCCGACATCAAAACATTACCTAAAAAATCAATTTGTGAGGCTAATTGTGTATAACGAATAGCGTTTTGTAGTCGTTGTTGGTCGTCTTGCTCTAAGCATCCACTATGAATTTCCCAGAGATTAGCTATAACATGCAGAAAGAAAATAACAATAATATTAAAAAAAAATAAAGAAGTTATACGTGTTTAACATTGGTAGACCTTATTTGGCTCACCCTGTATATCCACAGCTGCACATGGGTATGCATGCCCTGCAAAAAGTGGGACTAGGTTAAATACCAGTACAGGACCACAATACCTTGTAACCAACACTAGTAACCAAAATGGTCCAAATATATGAGCAAAATATAGTTACATTTACATTGCGATGTCATTGAACCTGACCACCTCTGGTCCAACGCAGCATAATATGGGACCACTTTTGGTGCACCACTGCATAACATGGGACTACCTAGACAACTACTCCTTTTGGACCATGGCACATTCGACAACCGAATCATATTGCCGATCGGCCACGAAGAGGTGGTGTTCAATACATATATAAGTTTTTTACGTTAGAAGTGGTCCAGGTCAGCATAACAAGTTACTAGTACGCAACCTGGTCCTTTTGCCCATACTTTAAAACTACGACCCAGTGGGCCACCTGGTCCTCAAATTTTTGCAGGGTGTCTTATGAATTTAATATAACACAATTGTATAGAAATGTGCGCGCGACTAAATATTCAATCCCGATCCCGTTCATCCCGACATTCAATTTTAAAGTCCCCAACCTGCCCATCACAACGTTCTTCAGAATTTACCGCAGGTCCCGTGGTTCACGGATATCTATCGCTAAGTAAAATTCATATGGCTTTCAAATTAATTTTAAATTATCTCGTGTTTATTGTATATGTATGTATGTATTTCTCGATTTTTTTTCTTTTCCTTTCTGAAATCTCGGAAGTTGCGGGTTTTATCCGGCGTGTCGGGAAGTGATTTTTGTCAAGTCTCGCCCGCAAATTTTTTAATACCTTCCCGGCCATTTTGAAATCAGTACTGTGGGTCCCGATATTCCGCGTCCATCTTTATATGAAATTCGAAAATTACGCCTAAAACCATGCTCCAAATTCAATGCTACTTTAATAAAGTGATCTTTAAAAAATTTAATTTTCAGTTGGTTCTATGAAATTGTTCTTGTTGCATACGAAATCTTCCATCCTACATATGTATGTATATTAATTCAATTACCTCGTTTATTTTCCAGCTAATGCAGCCAAAACCAAAGATAGCAATGATGTGCAAGTTGGCACGAGCAGCAGCTTCAACGCTGAAACGCTAAAAATACGCCTGCTAACGGGCCTTGTGTATGCGTGTGAGGTTCGGGATATGGTTATGTGTTTGAATCGCGAGTATCATCTGGTATGCGAACGCTTTTGGAAATCAGAGCCAGCCACATCAAAGTCTGAGCATTCGCAAATGTTTTACTATCAGGAGGTGAGTTCAATGGACTGATGGCCGTTTCTTTCAGTTCACTTTAATTTTTTTTTCAAACTCTTTCAGCAATTTGCCATAATAAGAGATGCTAACTTTTTGAATCGTGTCAAGCGTAAGCATTTGAAACTACAGATTTGTCAACGCCCTATTAGCGCAGCCGCAGTTGATAATAATGGCAATCCAAAAATGCCCCTGCAACCAGTAGGCGTGGTACTATTGCCACTACATCAATTTTTCATAGCATTCAGCAATGAAATGATGGCAAATCGTTTGGTTACCGAAAAGGTATGTGCCATTAATTTGTGTGTTTGGGATATATAGCAAAAAAAGCTTTATTTCAAATCTTATTATTTAGCTTCCCGTTATTTCCATTGACGCTTGGACACCTATTTTGGGTCAGAATGGCGAAAAGTTGGGTGAAATTAAGTGTCTGCTTGCTATTGGTAGCGAAGAGCAGATAAAAAATCTTAAATTACAACGTGGCTTTCGCCCTTTACACGCCGACATGTTTAGCAGTATTGCCATAGACGCTACACGAGAGCCACTCTATCCAAGTCTTCTCATACCACCCGAAGATATTAATGCAGCAATTAAAGGAGCAAACACACCAAAAAGTATTCGGCGTACAGTAAATTTGATGGAAATGTTGCAAGAAGCTTTGGAACAAACGCAATCGTCACCGCAAACGTCTGCGGCGTCTTCAATGTTATCACTACCGACGCCAAATTCAATGTCGTCAGCGGCGACTACCCCGCAACAGCAACAAGTGCAGCCCAAAGTGTGTTTACAGGAACGCACTTTCCAATTTGAGTTGTATATTGATTGTGCGGCATCATTGCCGCTAAATCCTTCCGCTAAGGGTAAGGGTGGAAAGAATGCTGCTAAGCGTTCAGCATCCAAGCGTTTTCCAGCAGGCGAGCCACCAACCACATACGTTACATTCCAAGCAGATGAGTGTTCGGGCAGTAGCGGACCTTATAAGTCGCATGAGGGGAACGTTTATGCCACAGATGTTGTTGAGCGCAGTACGCATCCGCGTTTCACGCAACGCTTTTTGGTCACTGTGGGCGCTGAATATTTAGAAAATGTAAGATAACAGCTTTCTTGAGACCCGAAAAATTAAATTAACGATTGTTTTCTGTATCAAATTTTCAGCCTAAGCAAAATTTCATTCTGAAGCTATGGAAAAAGGCAAATGTACCGCCGACTGGCAATGGCAGTAGTGGCTCCGGTACGACTGCACGTTTGGTACCCAAGCCAATTGACGATGCCATCATAGGTTTTACCGCACTAGACTTGGGCGTTTTTTTGCGTGGCATGCATATTGGTGGCACTTTCAATGTGATCGATTTTAATGGACGCATAAATGGACAGTTGCAGTTGAGTGCCAAGCCAATGGAAGGGTGGTATGTTAAGTTTCTCGCACAACGTATATATAAACATCCACAGCCGCAAAAGGAAACACAACCTAGACCAGATCTACAGTTTATTAACCCTGCTTCTGTTTCTGCTCCTGCTAAAAACGCACAATGCGCTGTTGGCGCTTCCATTGACAATGTCATTGAACAATTTGGAAACTCACTCGATCTCACACACTTAAATCTTAGTCAAGCCGTTAAGCATAAATTTAATGAGCTGGAGGGTATTTCCAAGCGCTTGCGCACACGTCTTAGCAGCGTGGCTGGTGAGCCATTGCCGGAGCAGTTCGATGCGGCCGGTTTGAATGATTGGCGACCGTTGTGTGATGTGATTGGAGAAGAGTTACCAATGGATATTGAATTAAATGAATTTGAGCGCGACATTAATTTACCACCGTTGGATGATGTGACTGAAATGGTAAATGCAAATGAAGTGAATGAATTCGAGCGTGATATTAATAAATCCGCTAATGCGGCAGGTGATGATGACCCCAAGGGCGTAGACGATAATGAACTCGAAGAGGCCGTTGATGATAATAAGGGTGATAAAAAAGAAAATTTGATCTCAAAGACGGCGCCCGGTGTAGCCGATCCCATTGTTGAATAGTGGCGACATAAACGCCGGAAAATAACTAAGTCAGCAGCAGCAACAGCAGCGATGAAAATAAGAAATACTATTACAATTAAACTTATGCAACACACATGTCAGTCTATAGCACTCTTAGCATCACAAATAACATTTTTAGCACCATTACTACTAACCCCACAACAACCACCGACCGTGAAGGCATCACCCCCAATCCAGCTCATCATTAAAACGCTCCTTGCATTTTCAATAAAGGCTCAATAGTACTTAAATAAATTTATGCATCGTAATAATAAGTAAAGCGCAACTTTTGCCAATTTTTATTAATAATATTACTAAATGTGTACGCGTATGATAATATATAGTGGCTATTGCAACTACTATATTTATGGAAGTTTTAAACGACCTGCGATTCTTAATAGCTAAGCAAAATTGTTATTACTTTCTCCCCTCCTTGTCTTTATAAATAATGTATTTCACCCAATTAGCATTAATTATTTACTTTATGAAATATACATACATAAAAATGTAGTTACCGTATATACATACATACATACATACATAGGTTTAAGTATTGAGTTATATACTAAATTTCGAGAGAAAAGAAACCACGTATTTATAAATGAAGTATTTAGTTGCACTAAATTATTTTTATTATTATTACTATTACTATATGTACAATGTAATCATTGAAAATTCCAAAAGAGTAGATATGCAAGGCATTCGATTATCAATTAAAAATCGTGAAAGTGGAATAAAAAACAAAAATTCTTATCCAAGCCCAGAAACAGAATCTTTGTGTATAAACTAGAAATGAAAATCAAAATAAATTCAATAAAATGAAATGTTACTGGTTTTATGTGAAATCAAAAGCGTTTTATATAAAGTACAAGCTGACCCGGCAAACTTCGTTTCGCCCAATTACATTTTTTAATGAATTATTTTGGAACAATCACGATTTCAACCGCAATTTGTTCTTTTTTTTACCGAAAAATAGCGTATCGTTACCTTAATATAGAAAGGCCCTATCTCACAACGACGCTGAAATACAAAAAGCCGTAACTAAGCAAACATCCGAAATGCCCGCTTCGATTGATTATGATGTATTTCATCGAATTATGTGTCCCAAACCATTTTAAGCAATAAAAAATTTTAGTCAGTTACGGCTTTTTTGCATTTCAGCGACTGTATGAGTTAGGGCCTTTCTATATTAAGGTAACGGTATGTTAATAATTTCAATTATAGATTGAATGGAAGACTCTTCGAATTCAATATGATGTTATATTTAAGAGGAGAACTAAAATCAAGTATTACACCCCTATTGCGAGTGTCGACTTGTAGTAGATAAACGAATATTTGTCGATTATCGATTATCCATGGTATTTTGAATGTCGCTTTCTCATTCAATAGGAGAGTGTGAATACTTTTAGCGCTCATCCTCATGCAAACAAGCTGTTGAAGGATGATCGCCTAAAAACTATTCACAGTCGCTTATCGAACGAAAAATCGAAATTCACAATACCGTAGAAAGTCGATAATCGAATAATAGTAGCAGGGTTCGGATTTGCCTCATTTTGGCCACTCGCTCGCTCGTTAGTTTGCTCTGAGTTAGCGCAACTCACGAGGAACACGCGAGGCTGTTTGCAAATGAGCACTCGTTAGGTACGAGCGCACGCGACGAGTAGCCAGCGAGCGAGTAAGCAAACGAGGGCGGCGCAAGAGTAGAGCGGCAAGCAAACGAGGGCCTCATTAGGTCTGCCCTCGCGAGAGGGGCGTTGCGAGCGAGGCACTCATTTGCAGCAGCAGACGAGCGAGGCGAGTAAATGAGCGAGGCAAATGAGGCAAGCAGATTAGACAGGCAAACGGGTTGTTTGGTCAGCAAAAATGTATGGGATAAAAATTGCATCAACTAAGAATTTAGAGCAAACGATTGTATGCACACATGTAGATATGTATATACATACATATATACACATATGTATGTATTTATTTATGTATATATTTTCATGCACAGAAGAATAGATGCGTGCTATTTTTGCCAGTTTTATCTACTAGGTAGGCTCATATGTGCATACATATATATTACTATGTACTTATACGCACGTATTATTCGCAAATAACAATTTGCAAAATGGTAAAATTTGCTGTATAAACGCTGAGTTAACTTTTTATTTGCAAATAACTAAATCACGCAAATAAGTATTGATTAGTGCTACTATTTGCAAATAAGCGCAAGACGCCGCCATTCTTAGGTTTATTTTCTTTTTCGATTGTCATCTTATTGCCTTTTTATAATCAAGACGTTGCCATTTTTAACTTTATTTTCTTTTTCGATTGTCATATTATTGCCTTTTTATAATCAGGCAATATTAAAAAAGAATTTTTCACCATCGAATAAACAGTGAGTTAGGTATTTGCAAATTATTTTTATTTGCAAATAGCTTACGTATAAACGTAGTATATGTAGGTATAGTTTTTTTAATTTTCAATAGCTTATAAAATTTCAACTTAAACACTTAGGTCTCTTTTTATGTGGTTCTTTTTTATGCGGATTTGAATTTATGAGGTTTTTCAAACATTTTTTTCGCTGTATCGATTTTGCTTCTTTGAGAGTTTTTATTACTTTTTTGCAATCAATTTTCTTACATAATTCATGTATTTTTTATGATATTTTTTGTTTCGGTTAAAATACAGAAGTGAACAAATAAATTGTTTTTTTTTTTTTTGAAGTATCTGAATTTATGCGGGTTTTGAAAATGCTGGAACGCATCTCCTGTTCTTGTATGAAATTAAAGAACTTTTTTATGCGGCTTTCTGAAGAACGCATCTACCGCATAAAAAAGACCTAAGTGTACATGAGAGACAGACCATACAAGTCCAAGCAAGTTTCATACTTTGTAAAAAAATTTGAAAATTTCAACAAGGTTTTAAACTTTTTAATCACATTTATATGTAGAGCAATGCTTGGTGTGTAGTTTTATAGCATAAATATATCATTCTCACTCGAAAAATATCATAATTGTGTTTTTTTAATAATTTTGGAAACATTTCAAGTAGAATGTTCATATTTTTCCATTTTGGTGCCTATGTCTGCATACATACTAGGTAGCATCCATGGGCGGAGGGTAGGGAAAATCCGGGAAACGCAAACGAGCGAGCATATAAAGCGGGTAAACCAAACGGGGGCGATGTGAAGTAGGTAAAAGCTGAGTGGACAAAGGGGAAAAAAGGAGACATCAAAGGCAAACAATTTACTCAGGCAGGCAAACGAAGTAACGTAATGGTAAGTACATATATAAGAGAGTGTGGTTTGGGGTAACATTTATAAGTCTTTGCTAATAATTCGTCGACGAAACAAGTGTATATTTAAAAATGGAAAACCTAGTAAATTTTAACGCGGATACAAATATTTCAATCTGTTTACTGTGCAAAAAATCACTAAAAGGAAAAAGTGTTTATAATATTAAAAGGCATTATGCAACTATGCATAAAGGAGTTGCTGGGTAGCTGCGAAAATCACAACGGTTAGTCTGAGTTCAGACAAAGAAACTATTGTTACGGCAACTCGAAGTTTGTTGGAGCGAGGTCTACGAGCAACAAGCTTTGTGCTCTCGTTCGTCTGAGTAGTTCGAGTTGGCGGTTCACAGCCGACAACAACAATTGCATACAAAATAATTGCTCTGTGTGAACGCGAAGGGCAACACCAAAAGAGAAGTTGCCGAAAATGAGCCACACAAAAGTCTCCCTGTGTGAACCCAGTCTTATGAATAGTTTCAAAACAATAAATAGTAGGTGTATCGTAGTAACTAGTCAACTAAGTTGAATGATACTATGGACGAAATGCTTCCCACCAGACAATTTTTGTTGCCGGAAATAAGAAAACCGTTCGCCTTCGGCAACGAAATTTACTGCCGGTAATATCGCCATCGTATCGATTTATTACCAGTCGCGCTAAAACGTCCGCCGAAGGCAACTGGCCTTGGCGAGTCGTTTTCTAATTGCTATTTGAGCAATAATTATTTGGAACAATTTTATTAGAAATGTAGTTCGGAACTTTTAACGCAGTTTACTTCTATTTTACACGCATGTAGATTATGGATTCCATGAGACAGATTACAAAGATAAAGCACTTAAAATTATCATCTTCCTCCCCCTATTGAAAACAGTGCGGCCGTTTGAAAAATTCAATGGCTTCCCAACAATGGCGTCTAAACTAACCGTAAATTAGATTTTGTTTTACAACTTAGTGCCACTGAAGAACCCAACGCTAAAAAGAAAAAGTAACAGCAGGTTCTTATGGCGGCCAATAAAATCGATTCGATCAGCTTTAAATGTTTTCCTTTGGGGTTCTTGTGGCTACTGATTACAAATCTGGAGACACATTGCAAAAATTCAAAATGGAGGACCCGATATGGCGGCAAAAAAAAAATTAAAATCGAATGGCCTCTAAAACTTTGACTTTAAAATATGCCAAGGATTTTCAACAACAATTCATTAAAAATTACAAAAACCGTGCCAATTTAACCATTTTTCGCACTTTAATTATGTATTTGGAGTAAAAAATGTTTTTTTTTTTAACTTAATATGAAAAATTTTAGAAAATTAATTCTCTACAAATTTGGATGTAGCATCTTTTTACGAAAAATGAAAAATAAGCTTGCAAATCGCAAACAAACACAAAAAAAAAACTAAAATCCAAGATGGCGGCATGTTTCCATATCAAATTTAGAGGCAAGGCAGTAAATCCATAATCTACGTGTAAAATAGAAGCAAACTGCGTCAAAAGATGCGAACTACATTTTATTTTTTTCTTCGTACCAATTTGATCTTAAGTTACTGGGTTATTCAATTTTCATAATTTTCTGTGGCACCAGTCTCTAAAAACTTAAAAATAATGCTTTAGGGAGAACGAAAGCCACTTATGTTAGGTGTTTTAGAATACTTCTGAAACTCATAATCAGTGACGGGAAATTTCGAATCAAGTTTCGTTCGACCTGTGAGACGACAGTCGTTTCTCTGGTGTTTCCAAGGCAGAGAAGGCCTTCCTCTTCCTATGTATATTGACCTCAAAAGGGAAGAAATCATTTTGTTGTGTTATTCCCATGGGAAAAATAAATGCTCCATGCCGCACCACTTAGAATTATCGCAGATAGGAGATTCATGGAGGATCATTACTATACCATATACATACTAAAAATTTGAGTCGGGCTCAGGTCGCATTGGATGGTTTTTTTTTGACGTGGTCCAATGTTCATACATATGCACAACTTCAAAATCCAAGTAAGTGTCCTCTCCCCATCTCACGTTTCTGTTTAAACCCACCCCTTACCGGCGGGGTAAAGCACACAGACTATTAGCACATATTTCGGCCTAGAAAAGTCTTGGTGTTATTTAACGGAAAATGGAGCGGGGTGGGGATGTTCGATGCGTATAATGTTTGGATGCTGCGCAGAACAAAGATAAAACCTGGCTCCTGCCAAGCGTTAGGACGCCCCTTTAATCGGCTGCAGTAGCTGTTGTTTAATGTTGACTACGAGTTCAAATTCTGTATAAAACCCAAGTGCAGCGATGGCCAGAGAG